AAATTTCATGATTGGTGCCACACGTTTTGTTGTCAACTTGTAGAGGTTCGAAATGCAATGTAGTCACTTACTTTTGCAATGTATGTGGCTAACAGGCTATCTGGTTATTTTTCTATGAAGCCGCTTTCTGGACTGTTCAAAGCTAACGTTTTGGATTTTGACTTTTAATTTTACATCGATAAATTTTCATACGTTCCGGTCAACATGCTTAAGAGCTTCATGACAATTAAGTTTAGGAGCAAGTATGAGATTCATACTCTTCATACACTTCTTGGCATCTCTCAGGTGTTTCGCTGGCCAAATACTTTTTATGAGGGTTTTGTGGAAGTTACTCAAACTTACCCTTTTTTCTGTGCTTGCTTTCCACCCAGATTGCTTCTTCTCCCGTTTTGTCATATCTTCATAGCATTGTTGTAACATCATGAGCTGCTTTGCTAGATTAGGCATTGACGTGGAGGGATTCTGTGTAGCACATCCACCCGCCGCTCGGTTTACCGCTCCAAGTATTCTCCAGGATTGTTTTCCGCGTTCACTTTATCTGGTCTCACTTTCCAAGGCTTGTTGCATCTGTACAAGGTACTTCTGCTTTACATCTAGATAAACCTTGGACTCGTGTGAAATATTTTCATCAGAGTAGGTGTTAAGTCTCTTGACACTCTTCGAAACTCGTTGGTGCATCGTGTTTCTGCAAAATGAATGGCTGTACTTTCAGCACCTACAAAATAGGTGCTAAAAGTGATTCTTGTCCATTTTAGAAGGATGCTGAAAAGGGAAGAGCCATCGTGTCGTTCCTTGCACTCAAAAAAATTTCTGTGTACGAGTGGGTCCCAAGAATTAAAGCAGGCCGATTATCCATGCTCACAGAAGCATTTGTTAAAGGGACGATGTCATCCTGCTGGTACCTGGTTCTGGTATATTTGTGGCGTATAAAATCCTTGAGGGAACTTTTTTCAAACTCATTTGTTTATCCATTGTTTTTTACTATGGTTTCAGATGCAGTTTTATCCCGTACATCCTACGTTTCTGTGTCGAACTCTTTATATCCTGACTAAAATCAGCTCAGCATTCTTTTACTTTGAGGTCCCACTTTTTCTCAGCAATATTCTTTTCTTGCTCTCAGCTTTCCCATACCTACCTTTTTTTGTTCTGTTTTGGTTCTTGCAAAGGTATCATAGAAAGGATCGCATTCGTTTTAGTCTATTACTTCCTTTCGTTGCTTGGAAGTCGATCAACTTCCAAGGAACGAAAGGAAGTAATAGTAGGAAGTTCAGAAAACTGTTCTCAGCTATTAGATAACTGATCAGAGTAATTGCTGAGCTTGTCTTTATATTACTTCCATTTCCATCGTTCTGGCGTTTTTCACTGTTGATACCATTGCTTTTGTTGTTACAGCTGGTTGCATTGGTTTCATCGTCATTTTACTTCCATAATAGCGTCATAATAATGTCTCCATAGCAGATAAAGTTAGAACAAAAAGAGAAGCGGAACACCTGATATTGCGGTTTCAAGATTAGGTGAAGTCTGTTCACAATTATTCAAATTTGGGTAATATAACTCTTTAGAATTTACAAGTAAAAAACTTATACATTAAATTTCTATTATTTCGCTTCTGATAAGGATATAATGCAAGGAAAAATTTTTCATCAAAAACAAGTATTTCAGATAAAGTCAGTTAAGTTTGCAGCTTACACATGTCTCGCCGTGTGTGATGTACTAATGGTAGAAAGTCAATAAAATCGTTTCATTCAAAATTGACCCGATTCTATAATTTTTAAGTTTATGACTCAATGTCTTACATTGTTTAGCTCTAGAAAATCCATCATTCAAGGTTTGTTCAGTATCTTCATTTCAGGAATCAAAATCAGTGTACACAGGTGGTTATACACCTACGCCAATTGCACTGTTGAAGTCAGTTGAGAAAGCTAAAGGAGAGCTTGGACAGAAAAAGAAGTCGAAAACAATTGAATGCCAAAATATAAAAAATGATGTAACTGAAGTAAAAAGCAAAAAAAAAGAAACGAATGGGAATGAAAAAGACAAAGGGGAAAATAATGAAAGAAAAGGTTTCACAAGTTTTGAGACAAGTGAAGCACACGATGAGCAGAATCAACGGTGTTCGAAAAAAAGATTTGATGAGTCGCTTTCTATCGAAGATCTTTTTGAAACCGATGTACATAAATTAATTTGTTCATTACTGTAGTCAAGACTTTCTTGTTATGCATGTGTGTCAATCGATGACAGCAGTTTCATCAATTTTTTAAATGAGTGTAAATTTGTTCAGTCGCCTGACTGCATGGTTTGTATTTAGGGCAGCATCATTTACTGTTAATGTTTTGACAATTGTTTTTTGTATTTTCTTTTCAGATGCCATCAGCAAAAAGATCGAGGAATAATGACAATGTTAGAGTAAATTCACATGCAGTGGTTGAAGATGAAAAACACGGAGGTATAGGAATCAAAATGAAGAAAAAGCGAGTTACACTCAAGTCGAAAGATGATAAGGTATGCAGGAATTATATTCTCACATGTAATTTCGTTACTAGAAAGCACATCTGAAAGTTCGTTAAATATATTGTATGCAGTATTAAACAATAAAATAATCGTTTTTTTAGTCTGCTGTTCGGTTTCGTGCCTCAACTAGAAAAATACGTACGTCTACATTAGCAGCACAATTGATGAATCGCTATGAAAAGCTGCAAAAGGAAAAAGACGAGTTGTTGAAAAAGTATCCTTACTATACAATTCGAATATAAAACTACTTGTCCTAATAATTTTGCTGTGCTCAAATGTGTATTTTTCATATAAAAAGTCTGAACTCTATTTTCAGCTTCAAATTAAGGGAAGAAGGAGTGAAGGTCAAAACAATCAGTGCAGAAAAAGAGCTTGATTTACCACCTACAATGGCAGTAACTGTTAACAAGGGCAAAAAGCGAGTGGCACATGTACCTAAAGTTTGTTTTTTTTTTAATTATGAAAACATGCAATAAATCAAAAAAGAAAATTGTGTTCTTTCAGAAAAATAGATCTATTAAACAAGCATGGTTCTAAACCAGCTGTAAAATTATGCTGTTTGTTTGAAACGTGGTTGGAGGGGTACAATGCATTAGTGCTTGTGAATAATTCTTTCATGTCCAGAACCACAAACAAAATAATTTTGACTTGATGTTCAAGCAGTACATGCAAAATTTTTCATTAAACGCTTTTCAATGTAAGGTTTGCACTAGAAAATTTTTAGGTATCAAAAATTAACAAAGTAGCTTTGAATCTGCTCGATCCTTACTCGTGTGGTAAGGTACCGTTTGCACTTCGTCACCGGTATTTGAACTTATTCCATATAGAATGTGAGAAATTTTGCTCACCAAGTGATGCGGTGACTCAGGTTTTGTTTTTTCAATAAGCATGCGCATTTCTCTCTCAAAATTCAGATCTCGTTGAAAATGCTTTGTGTGTTATGTGTATGCATATTTGTTTTCGAA